TTGGGTCGAGGTGATACTGTAGTATACAAAACCATACTAAAATATTATCAGAAAGGTCATCCTCCTGAAAGCAACCACTGAGTGCTCAAAATCTACCAAGACTCTCAGCTCCGCTAGATGTTGACCAGGCAGACAACGCCCCCTCACAGCCTCGTACCAGACATATGCGTCAGCATTGGACGAAATTCAGACAGTTTCTTTCCAATAAGTAGTTTGAGAACGTTGTACCTTTGCACTCGCAGGAACTAACGCTCTCGCACTCGCTTGTTCGGAGTACGGCTGTTGTGTTCCTTTCTGCGAGTCTTTTTTCCGGCATTTAGACACTGGGGCGGGTCAACGGTCAGATAGAACAGATTGGCGAATCAGCAGATATAACAGGTATGTTCTACAATAGCACACTACAATACAGTATACTACATTAAAGCACGAAACCAATCCCTTGTGTAGCCGTTGATAACTGTTCCCAACCTGTTTTGCGTCACTATTTATAAGTAAGGATGTACACCTTTTCAGCTCCAGATGAGGGAACCGTCGCTATCTAGATCAAGAACACTGAAGACAGCGGCTATTGCTACGCACGGTTCATCCATCGATTTATCTCATACAGAATAAAACAAGGTGGTGAATTCCAAAGGTTTTTCATGAAGAAGATTACTCACAAGGTCGCTGAAATCTCTTCGACAGCCAACGACCGATTTCCCCCTTCTTGGGGCCCATCAGGTGGACGCACTCCCCCGGGTTTTCGTCAACCTCATGTTCTACTTGAACCCAGAGTTTCTTTTCCCGACGAACCTACATACGGAATACTCACATGGGAGTTGGGAAGGCTGTGCCTGTACAGTCATACTGCTCGAAAGCCATTAGCTTAATGCGGCTGAATAGTACTCGGTCGTGTACTGTGAATATGTACCAGGTGGTTGTTTCAGGACGAACGAAAAAAGGAAGTAAATGCTATGAGGTGTACGCTGTGGAGCCAAAAGCAAATCCGTTATCTAGTGCAATAATATATCACTGATCTGTAATCACAGCAGAAAAGAATGCATGCTCATAGCTACTTGATGAAAGAGAAACCCGTAGCAGGCATAGCGTCAATCGAATGCCCGCGTAGCGTGATTAGCGTAGTTAGCGGTGACATTGTGACAATGAGCTCTGTTTTGCAATTGCTAAAGCAGTCTCAGTGTGATAAAAATTGAAGCCCGACGACTGCAGCTTCCGTTTTGAAGGTCAGCGCAACGGAGTGGGTTGTCTAAACAGGACTACTCGCTTGGTGCTGGGAGATACGAAGGCACATTAGGAGAATTTTGGGTAAATGGTGGGAGATCCTTCTGAAACTTGGATGATCACTTCGACGTGTTCCTCCTCCACATGTCCCACGTGACAGATGGTTTGGCCTTAAGACCAGAAGTCAATGGTCTGTGTGTGTGTTGTCGGGGGTCACATAACCTCGTTTCCTATGGTGATTAGAAGACTCTTCGTTCGCTGCCTTTGTGCTCGAGCTTTCTACGAGCATGACTCATTGACTCAGTAATCCGCCTCGGTCATGCCCTGGATGGGAATTCATGCAGTCATTAACGCTGAATAGATCATTCATTAGGAATGTCTGTTCGGTTTTAGCTGACTTTCTGTCAGACGTTCCATGAGAAGTTGTGAACATTTATCATGAACTGTCAAAAAAAATATTCGGTTGTTTGATTGATTAGCGAAACATCATTCCGATAAGGTAACCTAAGTGGATTTCGTATGAGTTATCCCCAAGACGTCAATGAATAGCAACGATCTTTGCGTATATCTCAGTGCAGTCCTAGTTAAAGGGATCCGTACAGTTAATACTGCAGTAATGTACATTTTCTTTGCACGTGACTGTCAGCTGACCGGCTGAAAGAAATGATGGAATTTTTACGACTAGTCAGTCGGTACCTGCAAGTTCTTGAAACATATATGTCCATGTTATATATAAGGGTGCCGAGAAGTACATCTGTTTTAGTCAACAGCTCGAGGCGCGTTTGCGGAATAAAGCTGAAATTAGATACAAAATATTCGAGAAATACACTCATTTGCAAATCAATCTGGTTTTTACGAGAGACTCAACTGAATCTCCAGTTTATGGGATTCCACAACTGAATGTGCTGCACACAGACCGCCTCATGTTTCAAGAAGAGTTTCAGAAGAGTTTCGAAGAGTTTTCAGCAACCTTATGAGTAGTTCTTTTATGAAAATAGATAAAAAAATACATACGTTATTAAATTCAAAGATAGACATGTTTGTTCACTAGCAAATAGTATTTTGCACAAATTTCCAAAGATGATGAAACGACTCCTTCTTAGAAACTCTCTCACTTAACCCCCTTGTCAATTTCGTTCGTTGACTGAGCAGTGTGAGAAACAGTTTGACATATATTTTGGTTTAACGCAAGAAATTACAGAACATACTCTGCAACAGAATGGAATTGTTGTCAACGTCCGGTCGTTTGGATGTACAGCAGGCGAAAACACGACTTGGGTGCTTGGCTCACACCGAAGTCTATGCTGTTTATACTAAAATATATTGTCTCC